CTTCCTTCCTTCCTTCCTTCCTTCCTTCCTTCCTTCCTTCCTTCCTTTCTTTCTTTCTTTCTTTCTTTCTTTCTTTCTTTCTTTCTTTCTTTCTTTCTTTCTTTCTTTCTTTCTTTCTTTCTTTCTCCATAATATAAATATGTGCAGTTGTGGGATTCCACCACAGAGAAACATCTCTCCTTTAGTTGCAATAACATATTCATCCATGCTCAGACCAAAGAAGAGCCATCAATCCCAGTGGGCATACCCTGCCTGATCTTACTGCCATTTTAGCAAAATGATGGCACAAGATTTATACAGTCAAAGCCAACTGAGCCAACCTCGTCACTTAAGGAAGCTTCACTACCACCATCCGTTGCTGTTCTCCACAATTTGAGTAATGTGAATCAGTTGCAGATCAGTTCTCTACTCTTAAGGGCAGAACATTTATACCTGGTGGTCCTGGGTCCCCTTTCATGCCATCCCGTCCATCTCTTCCAGGTAGCCCATTAGCTCCCGGGGTCCCTGGAATTCCTGGAGCCCCTGAACATTTGCCCTCCTGCCCGTGACATGGTAGGGAAAAAATAGCCAGTACTGATGCCACATAAAGCAACGTCGATGAAGTCATTTCTGCTTAGTTGGAAGAAAAGAAAAAAAAAGGAAAAAGAACGTGCATTCACATTTTACAGCATTGCTGGACAAGAGACGCCCATCGTATTACCCATCCCAGACCCTACTTATAACATTTCCAATGGGACCTTCACCCACTCAAAGCCGTTTTTTCCACATTGCATTGATCTGACCCAGCCACAGAAGGTTGCGGTGGCAAAAGTGCACCACAGAACTCAGCAGAACAAAGTAAAATAAATATTGCCTTGCAGCATTGCCTTGCTCCAAACCCCAAATTTGCACATAGCCCTTAAGACTGACAGCTACGTGCAAATTGCAATCACTACGATTTCCCAGGTCAACTTACTATTCTTTGTTGCTGTGATAATGAAGGAACGGGTTTTGAAAGCATCTGATTTATAGTAGTATTTACGATTGGGAAACAGCAAACTTAAGTGGACATGTGCTTGTAAGTGCTTGTAAAATACAATAAAAGCTATGGGTGGGTGAGGTTGATTTACTGGACAAATACTTTAAACAGGGTGACAAACCCACCATGGGGACAAAATAATATATTGTGAAAGTGCAGATCAAATTTCTTCTCCAAGAGGATTATTCTCCACTATATAGTGGTACCTTGGTACTCAACGTTAATTGATTCCTGGAGGCGTGATGAGTACAGAAAATGATGAAGGCTAAAGAAAATTTTCCCGTAAGGAATAATATAGTGAATCATAAGGCAGTCTACACAGACAAGTTCTAGCTTGTGTATTTGAGTATCAAAACAAGCAATGAGTACTGGGACAAAAAAAAAATCAGGTCAAAATGCATCAAGTACCAAATTCACTAAGTTTCAAAGCAGTTGAGTATTTTAGAATGAATGAGCTGGAAGGGACCTTGGAGGTCTTCTAGTCCAGCCCCATGCTCAAGCAGGAGAACCTATACTATTTCAGACAAGTGACTGTCTATTTTCCTCTTAAAAACTTCCAGTGATGGAGCCATGATTTCCGAGGGCAAGTTGTTCCACTGATTCATTGTTCTCACAGTCAGGAAATTCCCCCTTAATCCTAGGTTGCTTCTCTCCTTGATAAGTTTCCATCCGTTGCTTCTTGTCCTGCCTTCAGGTGCTTTGGAGAATAGCTTGACCCCCTCTTCTTTGAGGCAGCCCCTCAAATACTGAAATACAACTATCATATCCCCCTTAGTCCTTCTTTTCTCTAAACTAGCCAAACCCAAATCCTGCAGCCGTTCTTCATATGTTTTTAGTCTCTTTAGTTAAGGCCTTTGACCTTAGTTGCTCTTCTCTGAACATTTTAACCAAGGCAACAAGGCAACACTGTAATACGTGGAGAGAAATTCACTTGGCAAAACACACCTATAAACTATTAAATTTATCGAGGGGGAAAGGTTTAAAAGATGTAGGACCCTGTACATACTGAGTCCCACTGAATGTGGGGAGAACCTTCCTTTCCTTCTAAAGTGTTTCTTGACCCTCTCATACAATGATGATGAGGATCTTACCCATTCAGTCATGTCCGAATCTTGGCAATTCTATGGGCCAGGCGTTCTCTCCACATCTTCCAATCTTGCACTATTTCCTTGAGTTGTCTTATGCTCTGGCTGATGTCAACTTGGATGGTGTCAAGGCATCATGTTCTTTACCAACCTGGTTTCTTTTTACCACTAACTCTTCCAATAATAATTCCTTCCGATCGTAAGTTCCCCCACATGGCATGGCCAAAATAAGTGAGATGCAGTTTTGTGATTTTGCCTTCTAGTGACATGTATGGTGTTATACTCTCCAGTACTTATGTGTTCCTTGCTGTCCAAGGAATACTCTGGAACCTTCACAACAGTGGTGGGATTCAAAAAATTTTACTACCAGTTCTGTGGGCGTGGGTTGGTGGGCGTGGCAGGGAAAGGATACTGTAAAATCTCCAGTCAGAGATGGTATTTGCCGGTTCTTGGACAACTCAAAATTTCCGCTACCCATTCTCCAGAACTGGTCAGAACCTGCTGAATCCCACCTCTGACTTCAGAAGCACCACAATGAATAGATTTTCTTCCTGTCTTGCTTTTTTAAGGTCCAACTTTCACAACCATAGGTAGCTACAAGGTACAGGATAGAGTAGACTAACCTACATCTGGCTGCCAGGCTGACATCCTTGCTTTTCCATATTCAGCTCACATTCACCATTGCCATGCAACCCAGTGCAGTCTGACAATTTATTTTTGGGGTGCATTCACCGGTTTGCCTCTCACATATAGTATCTCCCTACAATCCAGCAATGGTGTATTAGAAGGAGGAGAAGATCTGGTTGCTCAGCAGGAGGAAACAGATCAATTTTTGCATCTCCTGAACTTCGGTTTCCGACTTGACTTTCTACCACACTCCCATGTCCCAGCATATGGACTGCAACTTGCAGCAGTGAGATCAACATGGAAGACGAGTAGGATGGATTTATTTTGTAGTGGAGATCTTGGGTTACCCAATTCGTTGAGGCCAGTGGGATATCATTCTGGATATGGAGACAATGAAAGAAAGGAACTTCTGCTAAGCTTGATAACTCCAGGCACGAAATTTTGGGTCTGGACAATCTAGAACTGTGCCACCTAAGGTCCAATCTAAGCATAGTTTCACAAAATTGTCTGCTATAACATCTTGCCTGTCAATGGCTTCTTCAGCTTCAATCACAATAATAAACAACCGGTACAATCTCAAGGTAAACCACTCCAATCTCGATTGCAGAAAATACAACTTCAGTGGTCAACGCCTGGAATGCCCTACATGACTCCATTGTAACAGCCTCAACCCCTCACAGCTTCAACCTCGAACTGTCTACTATGGACCTCATCCCATTCCTAAGAGGTCCTTAAAGGGGGCGTGCATAAGCACACCAGTGTGCCTACCCTCCCTGTTTTACTGTACCCATTTATCTGTATTTACTTCCCTCGTTCTTGTTTATGTTCATACTTATACTTGTTATCCTGTACATGTTATTCTGTACTTGTTTGATAAACAAATAAAATACTAAAAATAAAACACAAAAAAACTGTCTTCCAGTACTTAAGGTGCTGTCACAGAGAACAGAGGACTGATTTAATTTCAAGAAGTCAAGACAAGAAGTAATGGATGAAAACTTATTAAAGACAGATCAAACCTGGACTAAGGAGAAGTTTCCTGACTTTAAGAACAATTAATCAATGGAATGGGTTGTTTCTCAGAGTTAAGGGTGTTGCATCAGTAGAAATTTTCAAGAAGAGATTGAACAGTCATTTATCTGGAACAGGGGTCTTCAAATTTAACAGCTTTAAGACTTGTGGGCTTCAATTCCCAGAATTTCTCCTTCAGTCATGTTAGCTCAGGAATTCTGGGAGTTGAAGTCCACCAGTCTTAAACTTGTGAAGTTTGAAGACTCTTGATCTAGAATGATTTAGGGTCTCCTGCCTTGATCAGGAGGTTGGATTAGAAGACTTCTGAGGTTCCTTCCAGCCCTTTGATTTTGTCTTCTAAGTAAAAATGCAGAAATGTTAGGTTCTATCTAGTCTCCTTCCTTGCTGTAGTAGTTTTCTAACTGAAGGAAGCATTCCTCCCTAAAATCTAAGGTGGTACTCTTTCATATCATGGACAGGAAGACCATGTTTTAATTCTGGTGATTTTTTTTTTCCAGAGAAGCTTTCCCTCACATTGAGAAGATGTGCTGGAACCCAGAATGTCCCAACACATCCTGAAGATGTGAAGTTAGGAAGATTGCTTTAGAAAAAAAAAAAAAAAACACAACACTGTCTTGAAACCCAGGCCATTAGGGCACACTTCCAATCTTGCAACCACAACAGAACTGAGTCAGCAATGACTCTCAGAACAACCATTCTAAGAATACAAAGGTTCCGTTGATCTTCTTCTTTCTTCTGTGTGATATTTTTCTCAAGTATGAATAGTCCGCAAATAATACCAGGGATGATTAAGAGCAGTACTTCTTTTAACGTAAACATCTCTCATAATTTGAGTAGATCAAGTGGGAAATAATCATCTTAGCTTGGCTTTGAATAAAAAGAACATTGTGTTCATTTGTCCCAAGAGTTGCATGTTACTTCTGCTTATTGATTCTCAGGCACCACATGATCGCCCAACTGCTGTTGCTTGGGGAACATGAAATAAACTATAATTCCCCCCCCCCCAGGCATTCTCCCAAATCCATTGGAATCATAGAATCATGAGGGTCTTCTAATCCACACACACCCCTCCCAAAAGCAAGAGATCTTATTTCATCCTGGACAACGTGCCTGTCCAACCTTTTCTTGAAGACCTCCATGTCAACTCTGAAGCTCACCTGATGGAAGCCATCTTGGAACTTCAGCTTCATGGGGGATTAGAGATAGCTGGGGTTTTGTAGCCAAAACAAAATACTTTCTCTTGGGAACCAAGGACATTCTCACACCTGGTTGGAGGAAAGAGGAGCAGTATCACCAGGCAACCAGAGAGTGTGTTGATTGGACCATGTGACTGATTGTTTGGGGTTTAGGGAAAACTTTTACTTTTAATTAGGTGAAAACTGTGGGAAACAGAGTCAGTTTCCACCAGATCTGTGCCAATAAATGTATTCTTTGAGGAATCTACCTGCCTCGGAGGTTTGCTTGTTATGGGTCTATTACTTGGATCCCCAACACTCCAGCAGTGGAGCTCCCGACAATTAAATGGAAAAAAAATTAGAAGCAAATTGAATTATTTAAATTTAATTAAATTGAAACGTTAGAATCGGTGGCATTCCTGTAAAGAGATAAAGTGGCATCAAATATCTTTCCCCTCTTATGCAGCAAACATCCTGCCAAGTTTGTGGAATAGCCAATAGCTTCTTGTACAATCTTGTGATCCATTTTATTTGAGGGTCCGATCTGCTCAGATTTGAGGGGTGGCTTTTGACCTTTCAAGAGCAGGATAAGAAGCAACGGATGGAAAATAATCAAGGAGAGAAGTAACCTTAAAACTAAGTAGAAATGTCCTGACAGGGAGAACAATTAATCA